GAAAAGGCAAAATAAAATAGCGAAATAGGCAGGAAAAGGCACTGGAAATTGCAAAAAAGGCAAAAGAAGTCACTAAAAAGACAAAAATCGAAAAATTATCAAAAACTAAATTTATTTTATAATGTTTATTTTACAAGTAAAACGAGAAAAACTATGAACTAGTTTCATTATATCGAAAATTTTTACATTGAATCTTTGACTATTTTCTCCTTTCGAGTTTTTATCTCACAAAACTTCTCTATAGCTGTAGTAACATTGAACCACAAGATGAATTTTGATGTTTTCTGGAAACGCCTTGAATGTACTAAACGTGCGCTCGACGTAAGTTGATACAAGTGGCGCCCAATTTAAATATGGAACGTTTAAAATTTTCATATTGCGCCATATGGATAAATATAAGCAATTGCTTTTTCTTAACATTTCAGACCTTTGATCGATTTATTCAAACAAAGTTGAAGTAAGAGGTATGAAATTTTAAGAAAAAGCAATTGCTTAATTTTTATTCATACAGTCCATTATCAGGAATAACGCCTTTTCCTTGCCCTTTACAATTAAAGTTAGAAAATGCAAAAAAAGGCAAATATCTTAAAAAAGGCAACAACAAGTGTGCATATATATGGAATCAGGGAAAGCTAAATCGTGTACATTCTTAATCGAATATACTCTATCTCTTTAGCAGATAAAATGACAATTTCCATAAAATCTGTTCCCTGCATATTAGTAACATAAAATATGGTGTAACTTGGTAGCCTAATTGTGTGATGTAAAAATATTTGGTTCTGGCCCAACCTTAATCAAGCTCGAGTAAAGCCGCAGCTAGAAAAGGAAATATTATATTTTGTTGTAGACTTTCGTGGTACTTTCTTAACCTCTATCGATCTGATGAAAAGAACGAGGAGTTTATGTAGACGTTGCCAATTTAATTTTTAACCATCCAAGACGCTCCCAGCCCAATATAATTGAAAAGCGTATTTATAGTCTGAAGTGGTATATGTTAAACATATAATTCAGTGAGGATCAGTTCAGAGCGTTTATGTTTCGAAGAGGCTGTCAATTTGAGAAATTTCAGAAAGCAGTTGCATGAGCAGTCACACCTTTTATTTCTGAAACTGATTTCCGAAAAGTGACACAAAGGCCTTTCTGGCTGTTCACACATGGAAATAAAATTTCTCTCTCAATTTGACAGCGAATTGCGTCTAAAAGTTGGAAATATTGCCAAGACTGACACACTTTTTAGGCATCTCATCTGGGTCTAATTTCGAAAGCTACTGAAGAAATTTGGTTTTAAGTTTTCCTGTAAATAGGTTGGCTAACTTTTTCTATCGTCCGAACACTTTTTCTGATTTCAAGACTGTCGATTCAGAAACATTGTAAAAAATAACGAAGTTTTTTTTAATTTTCTGCATGTTTTTTCTATAGTGAGCAAACCACTTTTGTGATTTATGAGTGGGAAGGCAAACAACTTTTGTTGGAGTCTCCTTTACAAATCTCTCCTAGATGTAAAAACTATAGGAGGACAAACACAATTTTTCGATGCACATATGTGATTTACATCAACTGTCGCAACTATAGGTTTTTTCATATTTTCACCGTTGTCGGTCTCACCCATAAAAACCAATATGAGATTCAGAATCAGGATACACTTTTACGTTAGACAAGTTAAAGTTGTTCAAAAATTGTTGAGTAGTGTAATATATTAATACTCCAACAATTTAGAAGAAATGTCAGACTCAACGCGATTTCAATCTACATATGTACTTATATTGAGAATAAAAAAAATAGACCTACATACATATATTATATAGGCGTATCTCATTCACATTCTTGCATAAATACATATATGAGCCATTCTTTTTTAAGTCGGACGGATTTCGTAAAAAAAAATTATGTCATGTCTCCGATTCGTTTAAAATTTTTTTTATGGGTTCTATACATGAAATAAGCTAACTCGTGTTCGAGGAATTTTCTTTATAGTTTTTGTCTTCAGAGATATGATCTGCCAAAGTTTGCATTTTTTTCGTGATTCTGGCTAATCATGTACTTTTTCAAATCGTTATATCTCGGGTTCTGCTCATCATAAAGACTCAATCTTAACGTCGTTTTAAAGCTAAAGAAACGGGCTTCACATTTCTATATATAAGATGGTCAAGGTTATCCTGAAGCTAACGAAGCTATTAACAGTTGAACTTTTTGAATGATTTGCATAGTGAGCGCCAGTAAATTAGGGATTTAAAATTATACCATCGTAATCCTTGTTTAATTCTCTATAAAATAGGTGGTTCAAAAAATGGGCGTTTTTCAAGAACTATTTTTAAAATATTTTTCTTTGTGACGAGATGGTTTATTTTGCGAGAATCCACAATTTTTTGTAATTATTTGTTTTCTCAAACTTATGTTGAGATATATTTAGTAAGGCAGAATATAGCTTCGTTATCAATATTTGTTCCACAACTTTTTTCAATCCGTATGGATATTCTTGCGAAATCCACAATAAAGTCTAAATTTTTGAACTTTGCTTTTATTATAGCCACGCCCATTTCTAGAATATTCTTTGATTGAAAAAGTTGTGGAACAAATGTTGTTAACGAAGCGATATTCTGCCGAAATCCGCAATAAAATCTGCGTTTTGCTAACTTTAGTCCTGCAATTGCCACGCCCATTGATCTATTATTTTTATTGGCCAAATAATAGACATAAGAACGATTAT